ATGGCCAGTGATGGTGGGAAATGTTCAGTGGAAAGGGTGGCTGGCAATGTCTTCTAATTAGGGAAGCAAAGCCATGAAGGACAAAATGGTGAAGCAATTGATTAGATAATTACTCTATCTGGTTTAGCAGAAAAATCATAGATGAAAGTTTTCTCTGAATAATTTTGGTCCAGGATATAATCAGATAACAATTTTATTACCATAGGATCATGTATCTGGATCCTCAATGTATTATTCTAGAGTTGGAAAAACTGAAGGAAGCAATCAGTAAAAGCCTTGGTATTTCAGTTTCACAATAAATACTTTTGAAAAATGGATACCTGTTTGTAAAGAATCATTGACGAGATATTTGAGGGAATCTGACTCACTTTAAATCTGACTCATTTTTAAATGGTTTGTGTAACAAAAGACAGAATGGGTGAGGTGTATAACAAAATACAGTGAGTGAGGTGCCTTAAAGAACTGGATTAAAATTTTAAAAGCCTATGTACATTTTAAAGATTTGTGGAAAAGGACATGATTGAATTGCATATTAATAATTTACTCCAGTAAAAACTCCAGAAAGCCACAAGTTAAAGAAAAAACAAAACCAGCTTTGTAAGGGTAAAATATGTCTGCATTTAAATGAAAATGAGGTTAATAAGTCAATCATATAGTATTGTCATTAAAATATGTGTGACACAAACAGAAATTAAGCACATAGGAAAACTCAGGATAATTGTGCTATGGTGAGATACATAGTTCAAATATTTAATGAAAATCACTTGGTTAACTTAAATGAGTTATATGGAATTTGGCAAAGATCCAGAGAATGGCAACTAAAATGATCAAATATATTTTAAATAGACCATATAAGATAGGGCTAGAGAAAAATTATTTAATCCACAAGAGAAAGGGTTAAATACAAACTGTAACGTCCCTCCTCCTGAATTTAGGGGCTATACTTTGTATTTTGTCCCAGACAATATAGAAGAGAAGAACCATCTTCTTTTTTTACACAGAATCTAAGGAATTGCCTCAATTGCTGCTGCAGCTTTTGTGAGGTCAAGGTCTAGTGATGAAATGAAATGAAATGACTGATAGGTTGCACCTGACCAATTTGTGAAAGAGCAAATAACATGGAAATGGCAATCACAATGTACTGAGGGGAGGGACGGAGAAAGCTTCTCAAAATATGATTTAACTACAGTTAGAGTTATCTCCTGTTTGCTGATCACACTGGTACTCTTCACATACTAGTTTGCTATCTTGCCAATGAGGAACTAGCACTATTTAAATGGAAAATATAAAAGGTACCTTTAGAAATCTTGAATTTAATTCCTCTGGGGAAACAAGTGTAGTGCAGTATTCTCACTATTTGGAAGACAAGTCAACACCAAAAGAAGTGTAGATTACTTATGAGGTTCACAGACGTTATTAACACAAAATCACTAGAAGTAACTCCAATCAGGGATGACAAATAGATATCACTTCCCTTTTCAACTCTGGTCCATTGGAGCGACTTCTCTTTGTGAGAAGGATACTGAGGCAGTGTTTGCACTCAGTAGGAAAGAGTTGACTGATTTAAAGTGACTTCCATGGAAGCCTCCAATGACTTCCACCTTGCTAAATTCAAGGCTTATTTCTCAGTCCTCATTTTACTTAACCTGTCAGCAGCAGCTGCTACAGTCCATCACTCCCTCTTCCTTCACTTTCTTCACTTGGCTCCTGGTTCCTCTTACCTAGCTAGCTGCTGTTCTCAGTCTCATTTGCTGATTCCTCTCACCTTCCCTCCCTCTTAGAGTTGGAGTGCTCCAAGACTCAGTCATTGTATCACTTCTCTATCTAAATTTACTCCTTAGAGCAACGTGATCTAACAGAAAAATCACGTGAGCCACAAATGCAAGCCACATATGTAATTTGAAATTTTCTAGTAGCTACATTAAAAAAAAAGTAAAAAGAAACTGGTGAAATTCATATATATTTTATTTAACCCAATATACTCCAAATATTAGCATTTCAACATATAATTAATATAAAAATATTAATGAGACATTTTAAGTTCTTTTGTTTTAATACTAAGTGTTCAAAATCCAACGTATGGCATATCTCAATTCAGACTAGCCATATTTCATGTGCTCAATACTACATGTGCCTAATGGCTGCTATATTAGACAGCATGGCCCTAGATGATCTCATCCAATCCCTTAACTTAAAATGCCATCTATATGCTGACTACTCTCAAATTTACATTTCTTGCTTGAACCTCTCTCCTGAACTCCAGACTCAGATATCTAAGGGCCTACTTGACATCACTTCTTGGATGCCCAATATCTATCTCTGACTTATTACGTCCCAAACTGAACTCTTGGTCTCCTCCGTATTTGCTTTTCCCCATCTCAGTTACCAGCAACTCCATCACTTCAGTTGCTCAGGCCAAAAATGTTGGAGTCAACCTTGACTCTTCCCTTTGTCTCAAACCTCACATTCAATCTACAGGTCCTATGCCACTACTAGTTCCATGTTCAAGAAGTATCCAGAATCTGATCCCATATCATTACCTCCAATACCACTACCATGGTCCAAACTCCCATTATGTCTTGTCTGAATTATTGTGATGGCATCCGAACTGATCCCACACAGTTCATTCTCCTCAAAGCAGTTAGATGTTCTTTAATAATTAAGCCAGATCATCTCACTCATTGGCTCAAAATTCTCTAATGGCTCTTGATCTCACTCAGAGTAAAAGCCAAAGTCCTTACAATGACCTTCAGAACTCTACAGGATCTAGCCTCCTGTTACCTCTCTGACCTCACCTCCTGCTATTCTCCTTGCTCACTCTGCTCTGGCCACTCTCGCCTCCTGCTTTTCCTTTAACACCACAGTCATGTTTCAGCCTCAGGGCCTTTAGACTGGCTATACCCTCACTAACCCCAGGGCTCACTGCCTCGCCCCTTTCAAGTCTTTGCTCAAATATCATCTTCTCAGGAAATGACTTGAATGAATGAATGAATGACATGACATCAATGAATAGGTGCCACAAGGATGCATCAGAGCACTAGTGCCACATGGTTGCCCTTCTAACAGAAGTCAACACATAATTAACCTAAAACATTTATTGAACACCTACTATATATAAAACAGACATGTATGATTTGCTGCTCTTAGTGAAGGGAAACATTAAAATAATCCTATTGCTTTAGAAGGTGTTCTGGAACATTTTCAGCACATACTGGAACAAGTAGCTGGCTTCCTTAGTCACTGAGAAAGCAGTATCTACTAAAAAACAGGAATATCTTGTCAGATATTCTAGGGCTTCCTCCTCCTAGGCAATCAGAATCTACAAACATAATCCCTCAATCCAGGCAGTTCTAACTGCACTGTTAGAACACTTGGTTCCAGTCCTAGCTCTACCCTGAGCTGGGTGGGTGATAATAAATCACTTCTTTTATTGTCTCAGTTCTTTTATTCCTATGATGAAATGTCTAATCTCACCCAGTTCCCAATGCAAGTTAAGATAACAGGACAATATATACTTGGGTGTTACAAGCTGGCACACTTATGTATGCATTGTGGAGCTTGAGAAAAAAGAAATTGTTTTTCAAATCTAAGAATTTCTAAATCGGGACTATTTAAAACTAGTCTTCAGTTTGTGGTAGACTTAACGTCTTTAATCTTTTCATTTTCCGTTTTTAATCCCAATTTTCACTTAACACCACTTCTATGATTGAACTCATAGCTTATTTTAGTTCACACCTGCTAAGTTTTTCAGTCCAACCTAGCTCAAAACAAAGGAGAAACGTGATCAACCTGAGAAATCAACCCGAGACATTAAAATGTGTAGTTTACCCCAGGATTTGATTTGAGTGTAGGAGTGTGGGGAGAAAAAAGGAAGTACGTGAGGGAGCAGCTGAAAAAAAGGAGAGTAAAGCTCAATTTATTAAAATAGCTCAATTCAATTCAACGTGTTTATGGGCGCAAAGCACTGTGCTAGTCATTTTAGTAATGCCAAGATGAGCAAGAAAGTCTCTGCCATCAAGGAGCTGGGAGTACGAGCTGAACACAAATTATCAAAATATCATGCAGAGTACATAAAGGAAATACCAGGAGAAATAAAACTGACATTAATTGAGGACATTTTCATATGCCGGGGCAGTCACATATATTAACAACCCTTCCAAAACTTCCAGGTAAGCTCAGGGAGAATAGGTAACATATTCAAGGTCATTCAAGCTAGAAAGTTAGTGTACACTGGCTTTGTCCCCAACCCAGGTTCCCAAGCCCAGGCTCCTTTCAGATCACCATTGCTAAGGAGAAGCTCCAGTGAGGAGTGGGAGGGGAACAAGTTGACAGTATACTCCCAGTTGCGGCAGAGGGAACAAAGAGATCTGAAAAGCTATTCGGAGGCGGCGCGTGAGGTGGGCCTTGAAGGGTGAACCGGAGACTGGGCAGGCCAGTGCGGGGAAGAGGGAGGGACTTGCAGGCTAAGGCGATAATGAGAGCAACTGGATGCTCTCCCAATTCCTCGAGTCGAGGAATCAACCTAGGTTGAAAAACTGACGTCCGGTAGGTCCTCATCCACCCTCCCCTCAATCTTTTCCTTTGGGGCTTTTTAGCGTTCACCAATTCCACCAGTTATTTTTGCAACTTGAAAAAGCTCATTGTTTTAAAGCGACCACTGAGTCCTTTGGATGGTGGGTGGGGGTCTGACGGGGCGCCCCAGGCACACCCCTTGCCTCCCACCCTCTCAGCCAGGCCGCCATCTAGAGAGGGTTCGTCGCCGAGAAAGGGCGCTCT